CACCATTTTTTATAGATCTTTTCTCGTAATAACGAGATCTTTTCTCGTAATTACGAGATAATTAACTTGTAATAACGAGATCTTTTCTCTTTATTACTAGAACTTTTCTCGTTAGTTCGATATAATTAACTCGTAATAACGAGATCATTAACTCGTAATAACGAGATCTTTTCTCGTTATTACGAGATCTTCTCTCGTAAGTACGAGATAAAAATATTTTTTTATGTGGCCCTATTCGTCTTTAACTCGTAATAACGAGATCTTTTCTCGTAATTACGAGATCTTTTCTCGTAATCACGAGATAATTATCTCGTAATAACGAGATCTTTTCTCGTTATTACGAGATAATTAACTCGTAATTACAAGATCTTTTCTCGTAATTACGAGATCTTTTCTCGTAATAACGAGATAATTATCTCGTAATAACGAGATCTTTTCTAGTTATTACGAGATAATTAACTCGTAATTACGAGATCTTTTCTCGTACTAACGAGATGATTATCTCGTAATAACGAGATCTTTTCTCGTAATTACGAGATATTTTCTCGTAATAACGAGATAATTATCTCGTAATTACGAGATAAAAATATTTTTTATGTGGCCCTATTATCTCGTTTTTCGTAGATGAATAATGCTACAGCCTAATATAGCATTTAATATCACAATTTTTTCTTATCAGACTAAAACTTACAAACAAAACTTGTTTTAGTGAAACAAGACACTCGCTCTCCATTAATTATGTAATATTAAATCAATTGGTAACATTATAACATATTAATTTTGTTATTGAAGGATAGTAATCAAGAGTATTTTTGTTTGACATATGTTGTCAGTTGTCTAAGAGATTTAGATAACGTGTTTATTTTAATATTTATTTAAAGATGCTATAACAGGGCTTTCACAAATTAACCACAACAGCTTTCAGAATCATATGGTCGTCAATATGTGATTGCTACACAACAACAAACTCAAAATCTGTGGCTCTCTATGTCAAATTTTCAATATGCGTTGCTACTAAAATTCCTTGTCACCAACTAATGGTTAAAAGGGTCATAAAGGCCGGGTTTTTATTTTACAAAGTATATATTTGAAAAACAATCTGTGTTGAAACTTGTGAAACATTTATTGATTCAAAATAAATTCAGAAAGAAATCTTATAGCCTTGGTTGTTTGTAATCACTCAATGTTTTGGAAAATTCCGAATTTACACATTCTTTTTCATCATCTAGACCATGTGAGAATGTTTCATTACAAAAGATATTTCAAAGATGCATCTTTTTTGTTCGTTTGGATCATATCTTATACTATCAAACAGTTCTCATAATCTTTCAAATACCCCTCGTATAAAAAAAAAATTGATACAAGTTCTTGCAACTGAGATAACCATAGATAACCCTTCCCTCTAAAATAAAAAGAATAATAAAATAAAAAAAATAACGATTTGTATTCATGCTCAAATTTCCATTGAATAATACAAATAAATTATGCAAACTTTATTTCCATATCATAATGACTTATGATTCTTTCTGGCTGATTCAGAAAAAAAACATATCAAGTCGGAGGATAAAAGGCCCGTGGCTTATATTGGTATTGTACTTTCTGACATATTTTATTTTATTAAATAAACTCTGCAAGTCACGTTGCAGAGTTTTTTTTTTATAAAATAAAATGTCAGAAAGGACAGTACTTCGGGCTGATACAGGATATGTCATATGGAAAATGGTATGCTTTTATCATGTTCATATTATAATTACTCGTAGTAGTAAAATATACTTGAACACATACAAATGAAAAGCACTGACTATCTAATAATATCAAAGAACAGTAATTTAAAATTAAGAGAAACGGTTACTAAAAATGTGTAATTCACAAGTATATTCTTTTAAAGATTTGATCTACAAGGGTATGGAATAAAAACTATAAATTCGTATCAGCCATGGAAGCTAATACATCATCTCGTACATATCGCATAAAAACAATGTTAATGTACTCTATAAGTATGCCTATAATTCAAAAAGTTAGAAATACTTAGTATACGATTTACAATTGTTCATGGGATAATTTTGCAAAGTTACATGGTCTTTTTCACACTTAATATGAAAAAATTATATTGACTGATTATTGTTCAAACCTTATCATAATTATGATCAACGTACTAAGAATGTGAAAGATAGGCAGACTGGAATTCAGGAATGAAGTTATAGATGTTTTTAAAGTGTTTTGTTTGATTTTTGTTTTTCTCGAGTTTTTTTTCACCCATATGGAAAGGCCACCACTTGCTGATGGAAGGCTCCAGCTTTAAACTTATAAATACTCAACAGTCAGAGCCATTGGGTTGTTTTTTTTTTTTTTTTTTTTGCCAGCACCTACTGCGGCCTTATTTTATACGGTCTCATCGGAAGGAGTGCCTTCGCAGTCGAATTCTAGCCTTCGATGTAGAAAACAACCCCTTACTTCTCGAATCTAAAGCAAATGCTCTAACCACTGCCCAGGCTCAAAAGTCCATTGAAATAATACAAATTGAGAGCAGAGCACACACGGACCTCAAAATACTATCTGAGGTGGGATATAAAGTGTCGTGGAGGAGTAAGCATCTTTTGTCGATGGATACTCCTGCCGTATGCTTTTTGTCATGATCGGTAAACGGAAAAACCCATAGACAATTCTGACTGTAAATAATGGTCTAATAACTGGTATGAAAAACTTCAGTCAGCATTCGTCTTAACGATAGATTTTACTTACTATCAAGGTAATTATATCGACCATACAACTTGCAAAGTTTTATGTAGAGCATGCTATTGTGAATTGAATCAAATGGGAGATAAAAAAAAACCCATCTGCCGGTAACTTTTTTCCTAGTAAAATATATACAAATATAAAACAAATGTAAAAGTCTATTTCAAAATAAAATAAGGAAAACATCATTTTGTTTAGAAACTGTCCGTTTTCATTTGAAATGAGAAAGAATTCTTGAACCATCTACATCTGAGTGTTCTACCTCGGCCATCTTGGCTAGTTCAGTCCAGTCCTCTTTGTTATAGCTACACATGATACTGCCTATCACAATCTGTAACAGAAATGTTAATCGATCCACCAAATAATAAACGTACTTGCTTTGATTAAGTACTCTGGATGAACAGACCTTAAAACTGCGATAAATTGATATATTTGTTTTCATGACTTTTAAAAACTAGTGGGGCAATCACAGAATGTTTGCCTCTGAAGTAAAATCTTAATTTCTATCAGGCACATGATGAAACTCACAAAATTATCGTAAATTCCTAAATAAAGGGTGTCCCATATAATATATGATACCATTTTAAATTATTGTCAGAAACGCATTTCTTTCATTTGTCTCATTAAATATTTGAGTATATACATACAATTTTTGCCAACAAATAATTACAGTTAAAAATTTTTCACATAGTTGGAATAATGAAGCCACATAATTACGTCCAAAAATTGTTAAAAATTGCATTTCTATCAAAATGGATTTATCAAACAAGCTGGGTACCCTCATTTCAAAACTGTAATTATCAATTCCAGTATTAAGATATTGTTACTGATCATAAATCTAAATCTGTCATGTTCCTTTTAATGTCCCTCAAATTGTGTGAATAAAAATTGGAAAGTATATGCAGTGTTTATAGTGCATTCGTTTTAATTCAATATTCATTCCATTATATTTTATATAACCATGAGATGGTTTGGATCATTAAATTGATTTTATCTGTGTACCTAATAAAAAAAATCGTAGTAAAAATAATAATGCATAACTAATTGTATTCATTTTATATATTTTAATGAATCATTATCAAAATCTGATATTTCTGCAACAGGATCAGATTGCTTGATTAAAACGATTTGACAAACCAAATACTCAAATCTTTTACAGTTTAACAAATATAAGATGATAGAAAACATGATTTTTACCTTAACAAGAGAAAATGTCTTGATCATTGCGAATCCCCATCCAGCCTTGAATGCCCGCCTGATCATGGTACTGTGGGTGTGGCACTGGCCAGACCAAAAGGATTGGGGAACTTCAACCCACACATTTCTACACTCACGTCCACCTTATCAATGGGGTGAAGAACTTGGGCAGGGATGGATTGGACGGAATTGGAGTTCCATATAAAGCCTGTACAATTTTCTAGTGTCTTGTAGAATATTTTTCATCTGTGCTGATTTTTACAATTTAAAGCAAATGTGATACTTTTTTAAGCTAGGGTACACATAATTGTTATCTTTTAAGCTACCTGTGGGATATTTAAATCTATATTTACAAACCCAATCTCCCATGCAGAGTTGTCGTTCGTTTCTCTCTCAGACACGTGAATGTATGAGCCGGTGGTAGAGAGTGTTACAAACCAGGAAGTAAAAAAACAGATCTCGTTTAAGTCTCGTGTAGAATCTTTGGAGGACATTCCAAAGTCATAGATACAACAACATTAATTTCTTGGACATTCATAGCATCGTAAGTCGATTAACAGTCATTTTTCAAATGATCAGAAATTTCTCCAAGATTATTTTTCTGAACATGCATTTAGGGCTGACAGGTATCAAAAAGGATTTTTAAAATTAACATGTTCTTCGGTTGAACACTGTTTTTTATTTCATTAGAATTAATTGCTCTTTTAAATTCTGCTAGAATAATTTCAGATGGCAGAGTCCAAACCAAGAATACCTGGCACAGCCCAGCATTTTTTAGAGTGCGGCATTGAAGACTGTGAAAGAAACTGTGAATTTTACTGCAATTCTTGCCACCAACCAATGTGTAAACAATGTAGATATGAACATCTTAATAATCCAAAAACAAAAAACCATGAAGTGGTCCTATACCAATTACGAAAACGTCAACTTCCTGTGAAGAAATGTGAGATCCACCCCACCAAGGATATAGATCTTCTCTGTGAAGAATGTAAAATTCCTTTATGTTCCAAGAGTGCCGCCACTCCAGAACACAGAGGCCATTCCTTCACTGATTTAGAGACTATCTATGCTGAGAAGTTCTCATTCTGTCTAGAGGAAATTACCAAACTGCAGGAGTATTTTTTGCCAACTTCACAAGACATACAAAAAGAAATTAAAGAAGATGCCACAGAAATCAAGAAGATCATGGACAATATAAGAACCTCCATGAAGGCTGAAGCTGAGTCCCTGAAAAGTTTGGTGGATAAAGTGCAATCAGAGAACATGAAACAGCTAGACCAGATAGAGCACTCACTGCTAGAAGATTTAAAAACCCAGGAAAAAACATTTGATGAATACACCATTCACCTCAACAATCTAATTAAAGAGTTCCAAGATTTCCTCTCCTCACCAGATCCCACAAAATTAACATTGACGCTCTATTTGGTAGATATGAAAATCCAACCAATACCGGAGACGACAAAACCAGTCCCACCAGTATTCACTGCTGGTCAATACAGCAAAGAGGATGTTGCCAAATTACTGGGTAAAATAAGTATTCCAGAGATAAAACCAGAACCAAGGAAAATAAAGCCAATGGAAATTCCATCTCTCCCAACACCAAAGAAACCTACAAGTAAACAGTTAAAATCTGACAAAGGGAAATCTAATGTGAAACAAACACTGTCTCTATCTTCCTCTGTCACAGAGGTCAGGGAGTTCACTGTACCAGGTGTTGACAATGTGTGGCATTTGTCACTAGATCAGTCAGGCAGACTCTGGGTCAGTGATGATGTTGGTAACCTTGTCCAGACAGATCTTCAAGGGAATCTATTACAGAAGATACAAACCAGTGCTGGACCTGGTTACCACACAGTGACACAGGAGGGAGATCTGATCTTAACAGACTTTGACAAGAAAGTCATCAATAGGATAACACTGGATAACAATATCACAAAATTCATTAAAACAGGAGACTGGGTACCACTCAGCATACACTCCTCCTACATCAATGGGGACTTACTGGCGGGAATGGAGACAGATGAAGAGGTTAAAATCACCAGGTACAACAAGACAGGGAAAGAACTACAGAACATACACAGGGATAACAAAGGACAGGAACTGTATAATGCACCATACTACATAACAGAAAACATCAATGGAGATATCTGTACATCAGACAATGATAAAAAGGCAGTAGTGGTGGTGAATAAATCAGGACAACACAGGTTCTCCTACACAGGTCAGGGGTCAGGGTTCTCTCCCTTTGGAATATGTACTGATGTCCTTGGTAACATTCTGGTGTGTGATCTGTGCAATGTTCACCTCTTTGATCAGGATGGTCAGTTCTTATCTCTACTAATCACACCAGAAAGAAGGATTAATCCCACCTCTGCATGTGTGGATGATGAGAACAATCTTTATGTGGGAGATTTCAGTACCAAAGTCACAGTTTGCAAGTATCTTAAGTGATTTGTATTCTTAAATCTAACAAACATGTACATATCATTATTTAAACATCAATAAACAGAATTAATTGTAAATTTATCACAGATTTAATTTTGCATATCTTGTGATGCAACAGAATAATCAGATATATGTTTAAGATTAATAGATAACTAAGTGTGGCATAAGATTCCACCTCCAGGAGAACATGTCAAAATTTCCTGTTACTGATTTAAAAAAAAAAATCTTTGCTTGATAGAGTAATTCTTTATTTAAAGTATATGAAATTTAAACATTTCTGGCATTTTTTCTTTAAATTTGTCATCATATTTCCTTTATAATTTAATGTACAACTTGTGGTCCTGCCTTACCCCCCCCCCCTAGAGGTCATGATTTGAATCTTTTCTAGATTATCTCCCCTTTGAAGGGGACTTGGCCCTTCATATTAATAATTTAAACTCCCCTTCACCTACTTTATGCTTTATACCAAGTTTGGTTAAAATTGGCCCAGTGTTTCTTAAGCGGAAGTTAAAAATGTGAAAATAAATGTGAAAATGTGAAAGAAAGATGAACAGACTGACGAATGATGGACAATGGGTGATCAGCTTTCAGCTCAGGTGAGCTAAAAGGCAGCCAAGAAGAGATTGGAAATGTTCATTTTCTATTGATTTTTTTCTATATTTCTTATACTGATTGCTTCAATTTGCAGTGATTTAGTTTTCTACCCTACCCCCTCCCATAGTTTGATGTCTTTCATTCACATGGTTTTCAAGATATTAAAAGTCTTAGAATAGATGTCTTAATGTTTAAAGGAATCAGCAAGGTTTAAGGTTGTCTACAGTTAATTTTCATGTACTCTTATCAACACTCTCAAACCTGTAGATATTTGTGGATGTGCCAGGATGCTTGTTTTCCATCATTGACAGACTCCACTGTTGTCTGGGCCACCCCTGCTAGATCCCCTCCACAGAATACCCAGGGTTCACTGGTCTGCATTGTCTTGGAATCCACCTCAGGTAATCCCCATCTGTTCATCTTGACTGGACTCATGGCCTCAATAACTATAGTTTAAAAGAAATCATTATTAGTCAATTTAATGATAGATTGACTTATGCATTTTCAATGCTAACAATGGCACTGCAAAGAGGAGCATCTCCTTGCACATTTATCCCAATATAAATCATTATTTAAATTACACAGAATTTATTGTGAACCAACTTACACACTCAAAAGTGTGTCACTAACTTACACACTCAAAAGTGTGTTACTTTGTCTTCTAAAGTATGGTTGAGAGGGGTTAACAAGCTGAGAGCATGTAAACCAGTGGTAATTCTGTTCCTGTGCATAATACAACATTGCATTTAACTTTGAGTATAAGTACACTACTATCACCCAAATTTCTTTTTACATGCTCCTTTAATTGTTTTGATCCTTTCAATTTCAATGATAATTCCAAATGCTACATACGTCTTTGTAATTTAGTTATGATTTATTTTGGAATAAAAAATTGCAAATTCACATGCTTTGATATATTATATAGCTCTAGCAGCTATGCACCTATATTGCATAAAATTGCTCAAACGTTTATTTGAGTGATTTACTAATACATACCATCTGTTTCCATCAGTCCTGAGCGGAATGCTGAGATGATGTAATTAGCCTTGATGCGGATGATCTCTTCCTCATCTTCCACCCAGTTCCCTTCATCATCCATCTCTGTTCTGACAAACTCCATCTCCGTGATCACTCCATTCTTTGTCATCACTTTTCTGGGGGCCAGGAAGGGCAAGAATTCACATTTCTCCTCTTTTGCTAGCTCCAGCTAGGTGGAAAGTCATATCACTAAGTTCATCAAGATAATCAGAATTATTTAATATCATGGAGGTGATTGTCACAAAGAATCTACTGGAAGCAGATACTTTTTTTGCAGGATCAAAATCTTTAAAGAAACCTTTTGATTTCGTTTTGTCAGAAAATATCAGAATCTTCTTGGGGTCAGGCATTTTTGTAGAAATATTAAAAAGAAAAACAATACAAAATTAGAAAAAAATCTACCCGATAATATTCAAATTGAGGATATAAATCAATCATTTTCAAAGAGTTAGAATATTTAAACAATATATGAAGGATAATCACATTTGGAGAAAATAGTTGATTACTGGTGTGGGACTAGCAATGCAGTAAACGCAAAGATGACCAAGAAGGACCTTACCCGGTCACTGTACACCCATCACTCAAGGGGCTGCATTTCATTTCCCGAATTTTTGGTAATTATCAACTTTTCATTTCCGACATTTTTTATTTTCATTTCCGACATTTTTTTGTTTTCATTTCCGACATTTTTCAAATACATATACAGTACTTTAAGTAACAGATCTGAATACTTTAATTATGAAAAATTTAAAGAAAAAAATCGTAAATAAATAATTAAAATCCATTAAGTGAGTTTTGTAAATCTATCAGTGACTTGGACATTTATAAGTGTGGTGCTGTCACTGACATTTAATTTAGTGCACTTTAAATGTGGTGAAAAAGTTCATGTTCATTGAACTCTTTTACCTAGACTTACTACTACATGTATGCATATATGTGTAGATGTTTTTTTTTCTATTTTTTATCAATATTTTGTAATAAATACTTTTAAAATTCCATTTTCACTTACTTAGAAAACATTGAATTGCCGCATAGGTAAATTCGGGAAATGAAAAGAAAATTATGTCGGAAATGAAAACAAAAAATGTCGGAAATGAAATAAAAAAATGTCGGAAATGCTATGCATATTTCCGGAAATGAAATGCAGCGACTCAAGGCTCAGTAGAACTTGTCAACAAAAAACATCAGCCAAATTTGATCAATGGGGAGAAAATACATTTAAGATGAGGAATTAAGGCAAGACTTGTTTTAGACCATGGCCTTTAACCTAAAACTTGAATGGAGGCCCAATCTTTTCAATAATTATTTTTTGTTAAGAACTAAATAATTCGACTTCAACTGCAGCAAAAATGTTGCACACATTCGAGTTGATCAGAGTTAAAAATGCAAAATATGGTGGTCTCCACTTCAATGTCAAGGAAATTCCACATATTATTTGAATTTATATAAGATGGAATATGATTTTTTAAAGTACACCTAGGTATATAAGAATTTCAGGAAAAACTAACCTGGAAACCATAACAGACAAATTGATTGCATGCAAAATTTTATTTTATTCAAAGACTAGATATGGTTAACAATCAGAGCATGTAGATTTGTACATTTGTCCTGGCCTGAGTAATAACTTTATTCAATGTAAATGGACTATAATTAAGTGTAAAATATAGTTATATGTGCTAATACTATAACATACAATAATACATATTTCCCTCTATGCAAATTCCATACTACATTGTATTAAACAAGAAATCTTTGAGCCAATGCTCACTAGGAATACCCCCGCTCTGGTGTGAATAAACACTATCATGTTAATATACACAGAAAAATATGAAATTGACATCTGATTCATATCAAAATTAATCCCACCATATGGCATACCTCAGAGAAGATTGTGTTATAATTTCAAGCATCTGCAATGAGTAGTTTTTGAGCAAACTGTGACGAAAATTTGTTATGTATGAAATGGACAGACCCACAGGAAGTTAATATCGGATTTGACCAAAAATGTATCCAAACGTATGGCATGTGTCAGAGAAGATTGTGTTATAATTTCAAGCATCTGCGATGAGTAGTTGCTGAGAAAACTGTGATGAAAATTTGTTATGTATGAAACGGACAGACGCACAGACAAACAGAAAGTTAACATCGAATTTGACCAAAAAAGTATCCCAATGTATGGCATGTGTCAGAGAAGATTGTGTTATAATTTCAAGCATCTGCGATGAGTAGTTGCTGAGAAATCTGTGACGAAAATTTGTTATGTATGAAACGGACAGACGCACAGACAAACAGGAAGTTGACATCGGATTTGACCAAAAATGTATCCCACCATATGGCATACCTCAGAGAAGATTGTGTTAAAATTTCAAGCATCTGCGCTGAGTAGTTGCTGAGAAAACTGCAACGAAAATTTATTATGTATGAAACAGACAGACGCACAGACAAACAGGAAGTTGACACTGGATTTGAATAAAAATGTATCCCACTGTATGGCATACCTCAGAGAAGATTGTGTTAAAATTTCAAGCATCTGCAATGAGTAGTTGCTGAGAAAACTGCGACGAAAATTTGTTATGGACAGCTAGACAGACAGACAAACAGACACACAAGGGTAAAACAGTATACCCCCTCTCCTTCGGAGCGGGGGTATAATATAATAAACAATACAAAATGGATTTCAAACACAAATTTAAAGCTATAAATGTGACAAAACAAAATGTTGACATTTTGTATAAATAAGATTTCATTTGGATTGCGTGTTTTAAGAAGTCTGTAGAATTGATAAGCCTGCAATCTATTGTACAATACTTCACAAAACTTCATGTACTTACTAAAAGCAGAGAGATAGAATTACAATATGATAATAAGAAATATACTAGTATATAGCACCTATGACACCAGCCATATTCTGAGAAAAAATACATAAATCTGAATCAAATTTAATATTGAGGTATTTTATACTATTAAGTACTAAAAATACATGCAAGAAAAAAAAATGTTGTTTACTTAACCCTAAGGAAGCTCTTAACACTAACAAGAGGCCCAGGGGCCACAGCGCTCACCTGAGCACATCGGGCTTGAATTTACTCCCCCCCCTCCCCCCTCCAGGCGTTCATCATTTGAACAAACTAGAATCTACACTACCTGAGGATGATTCCATATAAATATCACTAATCATAACTTTGAAGTACTTGAAAAGAAGATTTTAAAAGGTTTCCCTATATATCCCTATGGAAGTATATGTTAATAAAGTCATTTCACGTTTTCAATCGTATTTTACAGGTAATTTACTTGATATCAACAACAATGATCGTATTTTGAATAAATAAAACGACTTCCTAAAGTTTAAATATTTATTTGTTCTTATTTCATGATTACATGAAACTCGAATAGCAATTGTCGTTTTGGTTATTCCGCGGCTTGATCGGGTCCTACACCAGTGTTTACCAGATTTTTCTCAATCGGTATTCAGTCCTTGAGAAAGGAATTTCTCGTGCAATATTTGCCATACTGAAATTATGTAGACTCTATATAATCATGACGAAAGTTCATAGTCTTTGGGAACTTACTGAAACGAACATCTATAATTAATTTCTAAAAATTATCGTCTCGGTTTCAATTCTAAATAAGATGTGAATTTGTTTATAATTTACCCTGTGAATAATAACCAATTAATTATTTTAACACATGGAAGACCCACAGGTGTAGTGTCATCTATGTAAACACCTAATTAACACCTCCATGCCAGCCCAATTAAGAAGTTCACTGTTTCCAAGTAAGTCCAGGCTTCATCAATTTCACGCTTCATTGGCATGTATACACGCGCAATCAAAACTTCAAGAGATAGAGAGTAAAATTCAATGAACTATGTGTAACGGGACCCAGATTTTGGTTCGAGAGATAGAGAACTTCGAGAGATAGAGGAGTAAATTTGCTTAGTTATATAGAGGAAGAAAATTGGACCGGAGGTTCATTTCGAGAGATTGAGAACTTCGAAAGATTGGAGTTCGAGCCATCGAGAGTCACCTGTATTTTCTTCAGCAAAATCAAGGTATTAAATACTGAAACTATTCCAATAACGAAATATTATACAAATATTTACAAATATTGCCGGAAATCAAAAATTTTGACCTGAATAATTAATTTGGGGACTCCTGATTCTGTTTGTTTTTTCTGACATGGGGTGTCAAAAACCAAGGCGCACGCTAACGCTATACATAGGAAAAACTTGGAATGGCCTTGGAGAAAAATACATCATATATAAAAGATGTGCATATTGGGATTCTTTTGTTAATTTTAATTATAGGGTAAACAGGAAAAATGTTCAAAGACAATGGACTATTTGTGAGCAGAAATCATTGTTGTTTACTTACATAGGGAAAATAAATGGAAAAACAAATCCATTTACCAGTACTTATTCTTGGCCTATTATAATGCTAAGAATATTTTTATCTATTACAAATTGCGTAAATAGCCATTTTTTTCTATCTTACGTTTAAGGGCAGATCACTCAACTGCATAAAATTGCTCTATGAATAGAACTCTTTAATGTGGAGTGTTTAGAGATTCCTTAAGTTCAAATAATATTTTTACAGAGATGTCTACATTAATTTTTTTTATTCATGATAAAACTTAGACAACCTAGATTCACTTACTGATTACAGAGTTAATTATAGACTAGACTTATCCACAATTTTTAATTCTCTATCAACTAGCACATCTTATATAAATGTGAGCCAAACTCTTCAAATTTTCCTTTGAATAGGTTTGTTCAATTGGTCTCCAAGGTGACTCCTGGCATTAGGTTTGTCCCTGTGTTCAGTGGTATGCCCCGCTTTGGTATGTAAGGGGTTGTCCTGGGTACCATGGTGATGCAGTCAATAATTGGACACACAGACAGACACAGAGTGCAGCCTGCCAATCCAATAAAATGCAAAATGAGACAGAACCAAGATGAAATTATGGTTAATTTCTCTTTCTTTTATTTTTCTAAATTCAAAGATTATCCTTAAATTAACTAAATAAAAGAACATAAATAGAAATAATTACTTCTCCCTCTTAGTTCAGAGGTCAGATGTTTCTGGATGACTTACCTGTGCAATCATCTGTGACTGTGGGAAGATGGGTCTGAGGATCAAACTTGATGGCCTGGTATCCAGAGTCATTACAAGTCATATAACACTTTCCACAGTTAATGCACATCTCCTAAAATTGTATGGCAAAATTAAAATACACTGTATATAAAGCATTCATATACAATCCTGGTTCTTTATAATTTATCTAGATGGAGACAAACCTCATCAATTAAGGCCACCACTTGTTCCTTGTTGTTTAAGTCTCCATAAGTTCCAATCCTGGACAAAGCCAGACCAATCACATCCTAAATAAAGTGTACATATTTAGTTACATGTATTTATACTAGGCATGATAAAAACAATAGCTAAGCTTACTGCAACTTATTTTCAATTTGTTCAAAATAAATTTTATAATGATCACATTCATTCAAAGATTGAACACTTTGACAATGGGTGAAGGTACATGGACAATGGGTTAAGGTACTTTGACAAGGGGTAAAGGTACTGTAACGGGGTGGAGGGCGGACGGTACCTCTCCTACTACTGCTGGGACCGCACTCCCTCACTCTATCTATAGGGGCTGTCTTATCTTTCCTGGCAAGGCTTGCGTTACACAGCTCAACCCGAGCTCAGGAGGGCTAGTATGGAACAGTGGTTAAAAACTCAATACTCTTTAATCTTATATCACCACACACTAAATTATCTCCCTTTAATCAATGAACTCAGATAATACCCCACTGTCCAAAACCTAAACCTCCTGTTATTAACCCGCGCTCTCTAAGTTACACTAAATTTATAAATACACGAAATCTCTCAGCTTTTCTTCTCTATTTGTCAAGCTCGTTACAATCTAGGCCTAAGGAAGTCACTATAAATTCTCTAATACTCATATATTTCATTACTCTGTTCTTACTCTTTTATATCCCACAATTTCCATCTTGTTGGAAAATCACACTTTGATAAAACCTTGTAAATCTCTGTACTTGAAATGAGACAAAATACAGTTTTACAATTTATTATAAGAATTATCTCTCAAATGAACAATCAACAAACAAATTCTAAGCTCTGTCTATGTCACCTATTTGTCCTAACCTATCTGTCTAAAACTAACTTCAATGCAACTCACAAAACTCCTAACTCTCAAAACTTCCTCCCAGACCTCCTGGATGAAAGTAAAAACCAGTAACTAAAACTTAATCCCTTAAACCTAATTAATTCCTAACAAATTTGAAATACCAGTAATTCCTGCAAATTTCTTAAGTCTGAATTCCAGTTAAAAACAGTAGCAAAATTTAGAAATACACTAGCTTCCTTAGCTAAATGTATAAATTACCTAAACAATTTTAAGTATTTCTAAAATTTAACAACAATTTACCAAAAATTCAAACAACCAGCAAAATTTAACCAAGTCCAATTCTCAGTTAAAATTCACTAAATCCTCACCAAAACTTCCTATAAAATTCCACAAATATTCTAAAAGTTCCTAAAAATCCTTAAACTAACCCTGGCTCTTCTTAAAATAAAACTAAAAGGTCATTATTAAATCTAAATTCAAAACGCCCAACCCATACTAACTCCTTACGCCTAGAACACGACTTCTCTAAACAAATCAGCCTAGCAGAAGAGCAAAAATTCCTTGAATCTCCCTTTTATACAACAGCATGACGTAAAAGTTGGAAACTGTTGGACATGTTGGAAAATGTTGGAGAATCTCTCGTGTCATTTCTCGTAAACTGCAAAGTCTATACAAAAATCTAATAACAACATACAAGACAACTTTTCTGAATGAAAGTAATCACCAAATACATTCTTAGATTAAAATAAGTAAATTAATCTCTATTTAAATCAACAAATAACACAATTAACTCCAAAAATCCTAAAACTAACGTAACTTTTACGATCGGGCTCGAACTACACAATTTACGACCGCCAAGTTCGTAAACAAATCTACCAGTTTATAAACTGCCGATAATTAACTGAAAACAAGTTAAACTTCAAGAAAACATGATTTCATCTATAAATCTATGGTTCATCTACTACAGAAGACCAATTAAAGTCCCTGAAACATGAAGTAAGCTAAAATAACACCACAACTTTACTACTGCTATGATCAGCTGATTTCTACGTAACTCAAAACGTGCACAAACTATTTCAACTCACGTAAATCACTTAAACTTGTCAATAATCACCTATCAATTACATGCAAACCATAAATTAACACATATTCCTGCAATGTCAAGTATCTATAACATCTTAACTCTCCTACAATGTCAACAATAATCAGGTTCAATAACTCTGTATAAAACTAATCTATCAAATCTCTGGACCGTTACAGTACATTGACAATGGGTGAAGGTATTATGACAATGGATGAAGGTACCTTGACAATGGGTAATGGTATCTTGACAATGGTGAAGGTACCTTGACAATGGGTAATGGTATCTTGACAATGGTGAAGGTACCTTGACAATGGGTAATGGTATCTTGACAATGGTGAAGGTACCTTGACAATGGATAATGGTATCTTGACAATGGTGAAGGTACCTTGACAATGGGTAATGGTACCTTGACAATGGCTGAAGGTACCTTGACAATGGGTAATGGTATCTTGACAATGGTGAAGGTACCTTGACAATGGGTAATGGTACCTTGACAATGGCTGAAGGTACCTTGACAATGGGTAAAGGTATTCTGACAATGGTTGAAAGGTACCTTGGCAATGGGTGAAGGTACATGTATTTTGACAATGGGTGAAGGTACCTTGACAATGGGTAAAGGTATTTTGACAATGGGTGAAGGTACCTTGACAATGGGTAAAGGTATTTTGACAATGGGTGAAGGTACCTCGACAATGGGTAAAGGTATTTTGACAATGGATGAAGGTACCTTGACAATGGGTAAAAGTACTTTATCAATGAGTACATGTATGAGCTTTACACACCTTGACAATAATATTAATAATACTTTATTTATAGAAGATTACCCTATTTGTGCAAGCCCTAGTCTTCCTAGCCTTCTTTATAACACATATACAATATTATTATACAATATAACTAAAGACAATAATCACAACCAGAAGTCTCTGTTGAGACTGAAGCTCTACTGGTTTGAACTTATAGCAAAGGAAAAGAAAAGTACTTAAGCAGCTGGGATTTGAAATTTTACAACAGCAATAAATAGAATAATGATCGTTGATAAAGTCTCTTTATGTTCTTAGTGTAGTCTACTTGTGTGCCAAGTTAAATTGAAATCAGACCAAAACTGTAGGAGGAGTAGCATTTTGAAACAATTTTACAATCATTTCTATTTTTAGTAACCACGGCAACACCGTTCATCGAAATCAAAATTCGATACACAGAATTATGTATCTTAGTGTATTCTACTTGTGTGCCAAGTTATATTGAAATCGGACCAAAACTGTAGGAGGAGTAGCATTTCGAAAGGGATTTCACAGAAATTTCTATTTTTAGTAACCACGGCAACACCATTCATTGAAATCAAAAACCGATATACAGAATTATGTATCTTAGTGTCTACTTGTGTGCCAAGTTATACTGAAATCAGACCAAAACTGTAGGAGGAGTAGCATTTTGAAACAATTTTACAGATATTTCTATTTTTAGTAACCACGGCAACACCGTTCATCGAAATCAAAATTCGATATACAGAATTATGTATCTTAGTGTATTCTACTTGTGTGCCAAGTTATACTGAAATCAGACCAAAACTGTAGGAGGAGTAGCATTTTGAAAGAATTTCACAGAAATTTCTATTTTTAGTAACCACGGCAACACCATTCATCGAAATCAAAAACCGATATACAGAATTATGTATCTTAGTGTCTACTTGTGTGCCAAGTTATACTGAAATCAGACCAAAACTGTAGGAGGAGTAGCATTTTGAAACAATTTTACAGAAATTTCTATTTTTAGTAACCACGGCAACACCGTTCATCGAAATCAAAAACCAATACACAGAATTATGTATCTTAGTGTAGTCTACTTGTGTGCCAAGTTATATTGAAATCAGACCAAAACTGTAGGAGGAGTAGCATTTTGAAACAATTTTACAGAAATTTCTATTTTTAGTAACCACGGCAACATTGTTCATCAAAATCAAAAACCAATATACAGAATTATGTATCTTAGTGTATTCCACTTGTGTGCCAAGTTATACTGAAATCAGACCAAAACTGTAGGCGGAGTAGCATTTTGAAAGAATTTCACAGAAATTTCTATTTTTAGTAACCACGGCAACACCGTTCATTGAAATCAAAAACCGATACACAGATTTATGTATCTTAGTGTATTCTACTTGTGTGCCAAGTTATTTTGAAATCAGACCAAAACTGTAGGAGGAGTAGCATTTTGAAAGAATTTCACAGAAATTTCTATTTTCAGTAACCATGGCAACACAGCTCATCGAAATGAAAAACCGATAAACAGAATTATGTGTCTTAGTGTAGTTTACTTGTGTGCCAAGTTATATTGAAATCAGACCAAAACTGTAGGAGGAGTAGCATTTTGAAAAATTGTTTACAGACAGACGGACAGACGGACAGACAGACAGACGGACAGACGGACGGACGCCGGACGCATTACTATCGCATAAGCTCTTCTGGTCTCTGACCAGTAGAGCTAAAAATGAGTAAATGTACCTTAACAATGGGTACAGGTAAAAGTTTTACACATGGTGACAATTAGCAACAATAATTCTACAAACCTTAACACTGGGTATAGGTTTCTTTGGAGCATTAGGAGGTCTCTGGACTTCTGGCATATTCTCTTCACTCAGCAGATCTTTCTTCTGGCAAATCTCATCTTTCAGTGCCTCTCTCTTGGCCAAATATGGTCCAAATGATGGGAGACTCTGAAGGAGAATAGATTCAGTACAACGTATCCTTGCATAATAACTTGAAAATAAACTGCAAAATTGAAATCTCTTCATGAAAATTAGCATTAAAAACATCTGAGGTTGCATCATACTTTCTATCTTTCCTAACATCCATACACCATTCAATTAGTAACCTTGTACTGGGTGATATCCTTGACCCCCAGTACACCCTTCTGCCCACATTTAACCCACTCGGTGACTTACCTCTCCAATAATATCTTTGACCTTCAGTACAGGTTTTCCCAGTTGATGGGGTTCAGTAGGGGGACTCTGTCCATCCCAGTTGTGAAGTTCTTCAATACTCCTGAGGTAGAGGAGGGTCTTTAATCCTACGATGTAATCCTCAATAATGGTGTACTCTTGGTTGTGAATAGCACTGCACACCTATAGCATTTGAAGAGAAAATATGTAGAGGAACTATGAAGGTCTTAGAAAAGCACAGCTTTGTCTATTCACTGTTAGTAAACCTTGAGGACACTAGCAAGAGTGCAAGTTTGGTAGTGTACATCCATAGGTGAATCACCCTTACAAGTTAAGTCAGCAACAGGCTTATACATTAATCAAGAAATAAGTCTCTTCACATGTTAATGTCATCTTACCTACAGCATCTGAAACCTAACTGGTGCAATAAAACATACTACATACAACTTTGATCTTTAGGGCATGGAAGTCTGTTCCAAAAACCCAAGATACCAAAATGGATGTCAAGGGTATTACACTTTAGCCCAACTTTGTTGAGGTGAGCTTCAAATACTGCTCAAATTATGAATGTTGAGAAAAAAAACAAACTTGAAAATACAAATACATAAACCATATGCATGAAACATGCATAGATAACTGACCTTATTACATAACTATGATAACATCATTTAGTGAGCTCAGTGCTCACAGTACCTCTAGTCTCACCTGTAAAACAGTGGCTCCTCCTTGTAAGAACTGTAACCCTGCCTCTGCTGAATCAATTCCCCCGGTGGCCAGAATAGGGAACCCTGGGAGCTCCCTGGCGATGGCTGTTACAGCCCTGAGAGCGATAGGTCTAATAGCATTACCAGACACGCCCCCATAGGTTGTACGGTGTTCCTTACCAACATTGGGCCAAGCTAAACCATTACTTTTGAGGCCCATCAGACCTGACACAGTGTTTGTAGCAGTCACCCCATCAGCATTACCTATAAAACATTACGTCTTTATATATTTACTTTGTTCATCTTTTATAGAATTTATCAACTTTCAAACAAGTGAGGCAAAGAATTTAAAAGATAGCTGTTTGTATCTATTTTCTATACATGTAGGTGGGGCCCAACCCTTACAAGCATTTCAATCCATACAAATTATTTTTCACCAGTATATGCCTCTTTCACTTTGCAGAAATAAAATTTCCATTGTTTCATTTTCATTCATACAATTTTTATGCACCTTCTTTGGCTGCTTTGGCAATGGAGACAACACTGGTCACATTTGGGGTCAGTTTGGCAAAGAATGGGATATTGACCGCCTCTCTCACCCAGCGACAGATGTTTCTAACTAACTCAGGATCCTGAAATAAAGGAAGTGAAGTGCCTAGTTCAATTTGCATACCTTTTTTGTTTAGAGCAACTTTATTATCCAATCAAACATGGAAAATTATTAGAAGAGATTGATTTCTCACCTGTCCACAAGCCAGTCCCATTCCTCTTTCTCCCATTCCATGGGGACAAGACAGATTCAACTCCAGTGCATCAGAACCAGCTTTCTGTAATTAAAGAATAAATTATGTTAATACATTCTCAATCATTCTTTCTTTTTTTAATCAAACTCCAAACTTAAGACTAGTTCTGCTTTGTAAAATATCATTGTGTATAAATACCTGATTATAATCAGAGTAAGTTCAATAACCTAAGAACAGAAATGTTGGCATGAAAGAGATGTACACTGGCAGATTTTCTTTGGATGCTGCATCTGACATGCATTTTTGCTAGAATCTGCATGTATCTGACCAAGTTCAAGGTTATGAAATAGTTTCTTTCTCTGAGTCAATAACTACATATATATTGATGGAGCATGAATGAATGATGAATTTAGCAGAGCACACCACAAAACTTGCATCAGATGTTGCAAACTTGCAACTGCAAAATAGAAGTCCATTCCCCAGTACATGTAATCACAGTATATAAGTCATACATGTACCTTGGCCAGACTTAGATGGATGATGCACTCATGTCAAAGATACTAGTATAATTTGTTGTGACATGTTTAGAGTATGGGTAATTGTTAGAACACAGATATTGCCTTTCAAAAAAATACACTTTGGAATGCATCCATCTAAAAACCACTAAAATTTTACAGACCATCAACTTTGACTTAAACATACTTGCTTTTTAGCTCACCTGAGTCAAAGGCTCATGTGAGCTTTTCTGATCAAAATTTGTCCGTTGTCTGTTGTTGTCGTTGTCGTAGTCATTGTCGTCGTAATCTTTTCACATTTTCTTCTTCTTCTCAAGAACCACTGGGCCACTTTCAACCACACTTACTCCAAAGTATCCTTGGGTAAAGGGGATTCAAGTTTGTTCAAATGAAGGGCCACGCCCTCTTCTCAGGGGAGATAATTATAAATTAAAGAAAAATTAATGTCATTTTTAAAAAATCTTCTTCTCAAGAACCACTGGGCCAGGAAAGATGAAAACTCATGTGGAATCATCCTCAGGTAGTGTAGATTCAAGTTTGTTCATGACCCTCGGGCAAGGGTGGGACCACAATGGCCGATCAAAGTTTTACATGGGAATATATAGAAAAAACTTTAAAAATCTCCTTCTCAAGAACCACTGGGCCAGGAAAGATAAAACTCATGTGGAATCATCCTCAGTCAGCGTAGATTCAAGTTTGTTCAAATCATGACCCCCGGGGGTAGGGTCGGGCCACAATGGCCGATCAAAGTTTTACATAGGAGTATTTAAAAAAAAACTTTAAAAATCTTCTTCTCAAGAACCAAAATACTGAATTTGTTTGGTTTTTATGCCTTCCTTGAAGTATGGCATGTGTACTGTAGACAGCTTTCATACTGGAGTCGAGTACATTTTTCCTTTTGCTACAAAAACCAAATCCTGTTAACCAGTATTTTTTCCTTCAACAAAAAAAATTTGACCACATAAAAAGGAATTGATTCATTGTATTATTCAATAGAAGATTGAGAACTGTGCAGCATTTTCCCTCAGACTTATTAGAAATTACTTACATTTTTAGTGTCCTGTTTATGATCTCAATGTTAATGTGGAATTTGAAGGAGCGTACCAAACTATGACCAAACAGGCTGCTATTCAGATTGAGGTATATTTTCTTATATACATGTAGAAAAAAATTATTTTGATTTATATTCTAAATATATTTACAGAGCTTTATATTAAAAAAAGAAAGAAAAAACATTTCCTATTAAGTTTTTTCACCAGCGCTGGAGGTACTCTTGATTTAGGAGGTTATTTATATATTTCAGAGAACGGATTATCCAGGAAATGCTTTCTATGTCATTTTTGTTCTGAAACCATTAGACAAAGTCTGTTCTTCAGAACTTGAAACAATTTTACCAGCGGGGTTCAAACGAGAGAAGAATATAACGCTGGAAATTAAGACAACTATAAGTGGTATGATCATCAGCTGAGATCTTTAAACAATCAATATATTTTGATATAATCAAAAATTAAAAACACAGCATGTACCTGTAAATCAAGATTAATTTTGTTTGAGTGAATTTTATAAATTTGTAGAGCACACACAAAAGACACAAAAATTAATTCCGAAAAAATACAATGATTTCAATGCACTAATTAGATTGTTGTGATTTTTCAGGTGACAAATACTACTGGGGAATGTTATTTGCTATATCTCTCTTTGGATCCTTTTACGTGTTAGCTTTCTGTATCGGATGTTTTTATCATGGATGGTACAGTACATGGATCTTTTACCTAAAATTTAAGAAGAAATATATGCGTAAATGCAACACTGTACATGTACATTTTGATTTTGCATGAAGCAGAATTATCAGTTCTCACAATGCCTCATCAACTTAATTCAAGGATCATAATTGATATACATGTAATCTATAGTATTATGTTGTTGTTTTTCTTCAGTTCAAAACACAGAGGAATATGGATGATTCCTGAGTCTCCAGACCAAATATCAGGTCAGACTTGATATTGGGCTGAAAAAAATCATGTTTTTTTTAAGATTTAAAAGATACTGAGCTTGGGTGTCATTATATATGCTCTTTTCATCAAAAAGAAAAAAAAAATGACTTTGAAATACATGTAACATAAAGAAATTTATAAGTTGCATGTTTATTCTTGTAATTTTATGTGTATTCTTGTTAAATATTCTTCAAAGTCTACTATTTTACAGAGAGTATGGACAATCCAGCAAGACCCCTAAATACAAGGACTGGTTCTTCAACATATGGATCTATTCATCAGCAAGGTGTAGTATAGTCTTATGAAATAGTGCATATTATTTTTATTCTTTTATTTTAAAAAAATTGAAAAATAACTATATTTTTGCATCACCAGTCCTTTGCTTGGCCAGTCTTTTGTCATAGAGAACTTGCATTTCGTTTTTCAAAAAAACATATTGCATCATGAGATGCTTACTCTCCTATGGCACCTGATCCCACCAGAGTTGAATAGCTCTCACCATTGTAATATTTCCATGTATGAATTTGGTTTACATATTTGAAAATGGGGTAAATGCAAAGTATGATGGATGGACAGACTAAAAGACAGAAGGATGGAAACAAATGAGATAGACTCTATATGTTTTTGCTATATTCATGGCAGGGCATAAAATATAGTAGATTTGTGAAAATTAAAACTACATTATAGATGCTGATGATGATCACAATGACTTGCTGAGCACCACTGTCAAAACTGCTGATACATCATCTGCCCTTCCAACTACCAGGAATACTAGAAGTACAAATGCAGCAGACAACATGTCCATCAGTTCTCTTGATTCAGACGACATTGATTTCCTCAAAGATGCAGACTTGGAAAAAGATGTCTTCAGGACAAAAGTGAGTAAAAAGTGATGATTGTTTTCTTTAGTACTCTGCAAGTTATTTAATAAATATTCAATTAAAAAATGTCCTTAACAATATACATGTAGGTAAACTCAGTGTTCTAACTGGCGACTAATTTAGTTGCCATAGTGCCTAACATTTTTGATTGGTGTCTAAAAAATTTTCATAAATTGCCAAATTGATGACCATTTCAATTTGACTTGTCGACTAGCAAATCCAAAACTTGAAATATTTTTAAAAGAAAATTAATTTTCAAAAAAGTGAAAAGAATAGAAAAAAAATTTTGATTGGCACCTAAAATTTTTCCATAAGTTGCCGAATTGATGACCATTTTAATTTGACTTGTTGATCATCGAATCCGGAACTTTAAATATTTCAAAAAAAAATAATTTTCAGAAAAAGTGAATAGAAGTTGAAAAGAAGAGGAAATGATTTTTAAAAATGGACATGTTTTTTTTTTCTTTATTGGTGACTATTAACTTTTAAAGATTTTTCTTAAAAATATTCCTGGTGACTAAAACTTTGCATTAGCATGACAACTAAAATATTTGATGAGGCGCCAACTGAGGCCTATATTTTGGAGGTCACTTAGAGGCCTGTAGATTAATTTACATGACTGTACATTGCGCTAATGGCTTGATGTGTTGTCAGCTTTCAGCAAAAGACAACTTTTCATTAACTCAAGGTAATTCGAAGCTTTCGAGCCCCATTTTATGAATGAGTACACTGGTCTCTCCTCTGCCTTGTAGAAAATTTGAAACAGAAAGTTCAGTATTCCACATATTATGTCCACAACACTTAACTATCATATGTACCTAAAGTGGAGTGATACCCTCTTCCCTATATTATAATGAAAAACAAATAATAAGAGTTCATTGCACTGTATTCCCAAAAATATTATATTTCTCTGTCAATTGCATCCATATGCTGTTCTATGCAAGTGGACAAAGACAAAGCAAAACAGATCAGCATAGATTAGTTTAATCTCTCTGTGATTGTGAGTATAAAGGATATCCAAATCAAACTTGTACATGTGGTTCATCTTTAGACACTTCAAGGTGCTTCAAGTTGTTTTCATATGTGCTCCTTAGTAGGTTTTGTCCTATAAAGACAACTAAGGATAACCATTTCTTTTTTAAGTTCTTATTCTCACAGATTGTTACTTGCTATCTTGTTTAAAATGATTTGTTTTGAATTTCAGTAACTATTGAAGTTCCACTGTTGGCACAACTGAAATCTGTACCTACAGTACTTTCAGGTCTCTCTGTATTTATAACTGTGGAGGCAGAACTATTCGCACAACTAAATTTTGTACTCCCACAGCTAACAGGTCTCTCTGAATGTTTGATTGTAGAGATCCCACTGTTGGCGCAGCTAAACTTCAGACTTCGACTGCTTATGGGTCTGTGTGAATACTCTGTAGCTGAATGAGAGAAAGAAGTGAGTGCAGTTGCAGCTGACCTTGGTCTATTACTCTCTGTGTCCATGGTGTGATGACCAGAATCTTCAGGAGAGTGGGACATGACCCAGTTTTGAACCCATTCCTCTTGATATTTTCCAGTTGTCTTTAACCTGTCCCATTTTCTAGATTGGGATGTTCTTTCACTTAATTCTCCCTGATGATGAAATTTAACCTGTAAAGTTTGATTTTCAGCTTCAAGTTTGGCTATTTTATTCTTTTGATCTGAATTAATGTCTTCTAGCTTCTCTATCTTTTTCTGTAGTCCAAGATGTTCATCATTCAATTCTTGTTTCTTTTCCTCAAGAATTCTGAAATCTTGCTGATATTTGTGTATTCTGCTCTCATAATCTGTCACTTTTTGTTGAAGGTTATCACTTCTTCTCCTAAGTTTGTCATTTTCTTGCTTTTCTGATTCCAACTCAAGAATTTGAATTTGGACTTCATTTTTTGCATCTTTTAAATTTTGGCTATAGAATTCTTTCATTGTGTTATAATTTTCTTCTTTTGCCTTCAGTTGACTTCTAAGATGACTGAGCTCTTTCAAAATATCAGCAATTAAATTATGTAATGAAACAGTCTCTTCATTGTCTCTAGCCATTTTCTTCATTTCTTCAATGGATTCCTGTAAACTCTGAATAGTTTCTTTAGCACAAGATATTGTTGTTAATTGGGACACCCCCTGTCCAGCCACAATTTGATGGATTTGTTTCACTAGATTTTCAACTCCTCCAGTATGAGATTTTCCTGTGTCTTTTCCTTTTCTAGGCGTTATACCCTTCTTTGGAACTAATGTTCTGTTTCTTTCTGTCTCCTTGGAATAATTCACGTTTCCTACAGACATTGATCTGGATACATTTTTTCGTGTCACACCAGCCATGTTGTATAATATTAATATTTTCTAATGTCACTGAAAATCAGACGGGATATGAAGAAGTCAGTTGTAACATCTGATCTGCTCTATAAATCTTTTTGTACAAATAGACTTCGAAATTTTATTGATTTTCCTTCAAGTCTAGACAGAGAATTCAAACTTTTGAGGAGAAAACCAACGTCTCTTTCACAATAAACGACTAATTTCTATAAACAATAGCTTTTTAAAATTTTAAGGTCAACTAACAATAGAGGTTATTTAAATACATGACTAATTGTTATCTGTTTCATATGCTCCTGGTAGCTGAAGAATTTGTGAGGTCTTGCATGACATGACAAACTGTATGTGAAACTAAACCCTTTAATAACCTATGACTTTCCTTCAGATTAACTTACATGTATTGTTATAATCATTGTTTGAGATGCCAAAGTACAACTGTACTTTGTTCTGTTTTTCAGACTGAGTTATTTGTTTGTGATTTATCAAGAAAGAAATACAAAAAACAAGCAAGAAATTATGCTATATATTGGAGGTAAATAAGCTTTGCTGTCCTAGCTAGTATGTACATGTACACGTAATTCTTTTTTTTCCCCCCAAGAAATGGAACTGTACAGTTTACAAACTAAATGAATTATATACTTATTTCATTATTTCATGAATATGGAATACATGTATTTCTTCTCCCTATTTTCTCAGAAACTTGGTTGCAATATCTATATTCTATGGACTTCCTGTACTGCAGTTAGTGTTCACGTACCAAAAGGTAGGCATTAAAATGGTGCATACACTAGTATATTATCAAATACTGTAATTTGTAAGAAGACAACTTAACTGACATATTTTTTTTTTATTAAATAATCATTAAAACCATTAACAATTATTTTTTTATTGCTAAAAGATGTAAAAACACTTAATGTTATTATAATAATTTTTTTGCAGATTGTGAAGTAAATTTTTTTGCTGATGTTTAACTGTCTGCCATTTTTTTTTAACTCTAAACATGTTACATGCAAGCTTTAATTTAAGAGATTATAAGTTGGTAAATGTATTATTGGTGATCCATTGAAGTATTAATACGTTATTGCAGGTATTAAATGTGACAGGAAATCTAGACATCTGCTACTACAATTTTAATTGTGCTCACCCATGGGGTCTTGTCAGTTCATTCAACAACATCTTCAGCAATATTGGATATGTCTCTCTGGGCCTCCTGTTCTTGTTTCTGGTGTACAGAAGGTATATGATTAAAAGTGCTAGATTACCAGACAGAGAATAAAATGCATGTAATAGAAAAAGTTATAAATATAAGTAGTTTTATTCAAGTTTCTCCTTTTAAGGTCACCTGAGCTGAAAGCTCAAGTGAGCTTTTCTGATCACATTTTGTCTGTAGTCCATCTGTCTGTCCATCTGTAAACTTTTCACATTTTCGACTTCTTCTCAAGGACCACTAGGTACAATTTTAACCAAACTTGGTACAAAGCATCCTTGGGTGAAGGGGAATTTAAATTGTTATAATAAAGGGCCAAGCCACCTTCCAAGGGGAGATAATAAGAAAATACAAAAATACAAATGTAGGATGTGGTCATTAAAAAATCTTCTTCTCAAGAACCATTGGGCCTGAAAAGTTGAAACATATGGAAGTATCCTGAGGTAGTATAGATTCTAAATTTTTCAGATCATGACTCTCGAGGGGTAGGGTGGGGCCACAATAGGGAATCCAAGTTTTACATAGAAATATAAAGGGTAAAACTTTAAAATCTTCTTCTCCAAAACCCATGGGCTAGAAAAGCTGAAAGTTATGTAAAAGCATTTGTCACAGATTATTCGCAAGTTTATGTAACTTTAAGGTTATTGTTACGTCATAATGCCTTACATTACGTTTCTATAGTTAACAACAAGTCTAAAATAAACCACAAAATGGTGTGGAATTTCCACAACATTTTGGTGCTGTGACCAGGATGTTGTGGAAAGAATAGAAATGCATCTTGATCACATAGTGGTTTATTTTAGACTTGTTGTTATGCCCCCCTTCGAAGAAGGGAGGGCATATTGCTTTGCTGCTCTATGTCAGTCTGTCGGTCCATTTAGTTTCCGTTCATTTTCTTCACAACCATTGCACATACTGAACTGAAATTTGGTATACAGGTTTATCAGGTGAATATCTAGGTCAAGTTCTGTTTTGGGTACGATCGCACCGTTTTGACAGAGTTATGCCCCTTGGACTTAGAAAAATTCCACTTATTTGCAGTTTCCGTTCATTTTCTTTGCAGAGGTTGCACATATTGAAATGAAATTTAGTATACAGATTTTTCAGCTGAATATCTAGGTCAAGTTCTGTTTTGGATAGGATCCCACTCTTTTTGTCAGAGTTATGCCCCTTGGACTTAGAAAAATTCCACTTATTTGTAGTTTCCGTTCATTTTCTTTGCAGAGGTTGCACATATTGAAATGAAATTTAGTATACAGATTTTTCAGCTGAATTTCTAGGTCAGGTTCTCTTTTGGGTAGGATTGCACCATTGTAGACAGAGTTATGCCCTTTTGGACTTAGAAAAACTCCAATTTGGGGGGAGGGGGGCATAAGTGTTTTACAAACATCTCTTGTTAACTATAGAAACATAACGTAAGCAGACCTGCCTACCCTTCCGCTTTTCACCACAAAATTACGCTATTACGCCACTGATATTAATTTTACGCTTTTGATATTTTGGTTTAAATCCATTATCAACGTCAAAATTTAGAGTCAAATTATGACCTGCTGAAATGGAATGAGAAGTACCAGTAAAAGAAGTAATTAATAGAGGACCAGTTCGATAACTAATGTAATATATCTAGTAGATATATGTTAACCGATATGGCGAAGATTCAGAAAAACTCGAGAAGGCACTACTATGTTAACTATTAATGATATTGCAATAAGTACACCTATTTCTATGCTCAATTTAGTCCATTTTAACATTGCTTTGAACAAGATACAGAAATGCGAGTGTAAAAAAGATAAAATACAGCGTTATTATGTACGATTTGTGTAAACAGCCAAACACAAGCCTTCAATTAAGTGATTTGATACAAATTGACCAAATGTTTCATTAAGGGTGTACGGTTGATTTGAGTTTAATATAGAATACTGGTGTTTTACAACACTTATTTGACAGTAGATGATTCTAAAAAGAAAAGATTATGCTGGTTTTGTTTAGTAATATACAATTTTGGTGATTTTAAAAGAAAATAAAGTATTACAGTAAAACAACAAAATAGGAAAACATGATTGATTACGCTTTTATCTCTTAAATTCCACGAAAAAAAATCTGAAATTACACTCTTGCAATTAAAAGGGTAGGCAGGTCTGCGTAAGGTTTTATGGCGTAACAATAACCTTAACGTTACGTAAAGTGGCAGATAATCCCTGACAAGCATCCTGGGGAAGTGTAGATTCTATTTTGTTCAAATCACGATCCCCGGGGGTAGGGCTGGGTCACAATAGGGAATCCAAATTTTACATAGAAATATATAGGAGAAAACTTTAAAAATCTTCTCAAGAACCACTGGGCCAGAAAAGCTTAAAGTTATGTGAAAGCATCCTGGGGTAGTGTAGATTCTAAATTGTTCAAATCAAGACCCACAGGGTAGGGCAGGGCCACAATAGGGTATCCAAGTTTTACATTGAAGTATATGGGAAAAAACTTTAAAAATCTTCTTCTCAAGAACCACTGGATCAGAAAAGCTGAAACTTATGTGGAAGCATCCTGGTGTAGTGTAGATTCTAAATTGTTCAAATCATAACCCCTGGGGGTAGTATATGGGGAAAAAACTTTAAAAATCTTCTTCTCAAGAACAAGTGGACTAAAAAAGCTTATGTGGAAGTATCCTGGATTAGTGTTGATTCTACACTGTAAACCAACTTTTATTCGCGTGCGAGAAATTTTCGCGATGTTCACGAGAGCCCCGTCATCGCGAATATTTCTCGCCGCGAAGCGGTTCTTACAGTCTATTTGCCTATTAACAACAGATCCAAAATAGGCTTGGTCGCGAAAAATTAATCGTCGCGAACTAGTTTATCCCCGGGAAATCGCGAAATAAAGTCATCGCGAATAAAAGTTGGTTTACAGTATTGTTTGAATCATGGCCAGTTAGGATTGTCAAGGTCAAGTTAGGTATTACAAAGCGGGAAATCTGTTAAATGACAGAATGGCTAAAGTTACTCAGGTGAGCAATGTGGCCCATGGGCCTCTCATTTACTATAAATATTGTTTATACAAGTACATTGATTTTGGAAACTTAAAATGAATATTAATTAATAATTATTAATATTTATTAAAAATAAATAAGAATTTACTACATAATGATGTTTTTATAGAAAGCTGATATATGGGCTGGCAGTACAACAAGATAAATCTATGAAGAAGGAGCTAGGGATCCCCCAACATTTTGGCCTATTCTTTGCCATGGGCTTAGCCCTCATCATGGAGGGGGTCATGAGTGCTTGTTACCATGTCTGTCCCAACTACTCCAACTTTCAGTTTGGTGAGATATTAATTTTCCCTATTAGTCAATCATTATGCAACTACATTTAGGTAATGTCACCCACAAGGTGCAGTGGTTAGAGCCTTTGTCATGGAATAAGGATTTAATCCATATGCCACAGGTTCAAGTCACATTGCAGGTCCTGGAGATCTGTCCTTTGGATGAGACTGTATGAACCAAATTCCCATGTTGCATTAGATGCTGGCAGGAAAAAAATTCCTTAACCTCAATGGCCTAAAAGCCATGTATAGGACTAAATTTGCAGCTCTCCACCAGCAAGTCATGGCATCTCAATATGTGTGAAAAATTTTCAAAAGGGACAAAACAAAAAAATAAATCATTTAGGAAATAGTATTTAATTAATCTTATTTGCTACGCATTTTTTCATGCAGCTTAAAATTGAGATTTATATTGAAATTCTAATCAGTGATTTCTATAATTGCAGACACTTCGTTTATGTACATCATTGCCTGCTTATGCATGCTGAAGATCTACCAGACAAGACATCCGGATGTCAGTGCTAAAGCCCACACCTCCTATCTTCTCATGGCCTTTGTCATATTCATAGCTGTCATTGGAGTAGTAAGTGACTATTTTAAAAATTTTGCTGCAATGCTATTTGTACCATTGAGCTACAAAAATTAAATTAAGGATTACTATTTTGTTATTCACTCAGGTGACCTATTGCAATGTGTTTTTTTTTTTGTTTTGTTTTTTTTTCTAGGGGTTGGGGGGTTGGGAGTCTTCTTCCATCACTTGTCATCTGTTGAGAATTTTTATCTATTTCTAGATATGAAACTGTTGAACCAATTTCAACTAATTTGGCTAGCAACTATGAGGAAGGGAACTGAAAATTGTTAATTTCATTCCCCCTCCCCTCCCCCCCCCAACCTTCCACCTGAAGCCTGAGGGCTGGGGGCTAAATTAAAGTAAATGTAATCTTTAAAAATCTTCTTTAGTCATTAACATATATTAAGCACTTGAAATTGTGCAATGATTATTTCTGTTTATTAAGATTATGTATGTTGTAAGTGTCAAACGGATATGTTTAATCTGTTTCAGATATATGGGACCAATATATTTTGGATTTTCTTTGCCTGTGTATACATGTTGTTCTATTTAGTTCTTAGTGTTCAAATCTACTTCATTGGAAGATGGAGAGTAGGTGAGTTTGTCTTCTTCTTTGGAATACAAGTAACGGGCTTCATGTTTATAAAAATACAGTACATCGTAGCACCAAAAAACTTGTTAATTTTTTTTTCAGATAAAGGGATTTTTAGAAGAGTGTATATGGTATGTCGATATGACATGTTGAGATGTAAAAGACCAATGTATCCAGTAAGTACTTTTTTTATTGACTTATATACTTATATAAAGTATACAATGTAGTTATACCCATTAACATATATATCAATTTTATGGAAATTTTCATGCTTATCTTTTGAAATAAAATTGTGTGTTTATAAATATCCTCTATTTATCAGCACTGTCTAATATTTTTAGGATAGAATGGTTTTATTGGTGTTTGGAAATATCATCAATTGGGTAATGTAGGTATATTATGTATATTATTAGGATAAAGTATATCACCAGGCTGAATGATTTCTATTTGACCAAGGAGGAAATGCTTTAAATGTACATAATATAATATAACGAAATCAGAGTCCTTCAGTCTTGTCATTGTATACTTAATATTTTAATCCACTTTGCAGTGCAGTATATGGAGCTGTGTACCATTCTCCAGACTTTGCCACTTATCTGTTGGGAATCTTCATTGGAAATCTTATGATTTATTGTACATTCTACATTATAATGAAGGTATGTCTGTTAGTTGGTCACTTAAGTCCACCTGTCACTATTTGTTGTCATCCTGGGTCCTTAATCAGCTACACACTTGTACACATTTTGAGCTTTTTAGCTCACCTGAGCTGAAAGCTTTTTAAAAATGCATTAGTTGACCATGCCGTTAGTATACAAAGCAGCTATGGCTCTTTAGTCAGTTTGTGGATATCCTAGATTCTCCAAGTATGTCAACCAAAAAGTAGGTCACAGTGACCTTTATTTTGATATTTTACATCTTTTTCTTAGTATTTCTGAAAAAAGTTTGCTTAAAAATTATAATTTTTTTTCCAGTTAAACAATTTAATTCCCCAGAATATATAGAGTACAGTTCATCAGATAAGCTGATTTATCTGTAAATCTTTAACTTTAAAATTGATTTTTAGCTCTTCTGAGCCAAAGGCACAAAGAGCTAATGCTATGGCCATTTGTGTGGTGTGCGTAAACTTTTTAGAATATGGGCCATAACTCAAGAACCCCTTGGCCAATCAGTGCCAAATTTGTCAAAGGGTATCATTGGCCCAAAGGCTACCATTTATACTCAAATAAGGGTTTGGGACCCTTAAACAAGGGGAGATAATCAAGAAAACAAAACCAAAAGTACTGGTTGCTAAAAAATCTTCCTCTCCAGAACCACCAGGCAGATTTTCACCAAACTTACATACAAGGATAAGGATATGTAGAAGATTAAAATTAGCACGGGGAATTACCCTGGGGCAAAGGGCGTGGTCTCAAGGTCACTTCAACGTTGACCTAAATTTACAATTAATAAAAATGTGTATATTTTGCTTACTATAAGGACTAGGATCATCAAATCTAGTTGATGCATCTTAGGACTTCACATCATGTTAACTCAAAAGTAGGTCACGGTGACCTACTTTTTAAATTTTGCGGGACTTTGTTTTCAAATTAATTTGAAGGCATATTTTGGACACTTTAAGGTCTGTAATCATCAAACTTTGTCAGTTGATGCATCTTGGGTCCTTGAACAACGTCAACTTAAAAGTAGGTTACTGTGACCTACTTTTTGAACTTTATGACTAATCCTTTTAAAAACATTTAATCCCATTATTTCAGACACTGGGAGGTTTAGAATCATCAAATCTTGTAAGTTGATGCATCTTGGGACCTTAAAACATATTTATGAAAAAGTAGGTCACTGTGACCTACTTTTTGAATTTTGCTGGCATTTGTTTTCAAATTGTTTGAAACGCATATTTTGATTACCTTCAGACCTACGATCATCAAACTTGGTCAGTAGATGCATCTTGGGTCTTTAATACTCCAGCATGCTAGAGGTTCACGGCGAGATACTTTTGACTTGGCGCCGCGTAACCTCTAGCATCCATTGTAAAAATTCTCGCCGCTGAAACCCCAAGTGGAAAAAAAATATTTTATTAAGAAATAAGGCTTTGTATATTAACGAATGGTACGAAATAATAAAATACTCAATATTTACGATAAAACTTACGCATAAAACACTGTTAACCTCTCGTATTAGCAATAAATCCATTATTTTTTAAATCGAAGCAGAAATTGAAACAAGTCGTCTGTTTAAAATTCGGAAATGGAATTCAGAAAATCTGACGAAACGCAACCAATGTAATGCAACGAAAATTTCGTTTTCTGACAAGCAATCCGCAAAATTAACGTGAAGTCAAATCGAAAGTACTTCTGGAGACAAATTGGAATAATGACAATTTTCATTAATTAACAGTAATGCACACTGAATAAAATGGATTTTATTATTTCTTGTGACTTTCATACCCCATGCAAACACGTAGGTACCTGAAAATTACTTGTAAACAGTTTAATTCACGCTTAATACGTTCCGCCCAAAATCTCAGGCGGAACGAGCTCGTTAGAAAATGGCCTTCGGATGTAAGAGTCCGAGGTATATAAGGAGCGAAGGGACGTTAACCGAGGCTCTTACTTGTAGGAGTAGGGTCTTTAAAAAATGTAGACCAAAATGTAGGTCACGTTGACCTACTTTCGACGTTTTATGGCTGTATTTAAGTATCTTAGGTATTTATTGGCTTAGAATCATCAAACTTTATGAGTTGATGCATCTTTGGTTTTCGGAGAGTGATGACCAAAAAGTAAGTCACGGTGACCTACTTCTGACATTTTATGGCTTTATTTAAGTATCTCCGGTACTTATTGGCTTAGAATCATCAAACTTTGTGAGTTGATGCATCTTGGGTTTTCAGAGATTGTCGACCAAAAAGTAGGTCACAGTGACCTACTTTTGACATTTTATGGCAATATTTAAGTATCTCAGGCACTCACTGCCTAAGAATCATCAAACTTTGTCAGTTGATGCATCTTGGGTTTTCGGAGTGACCTACTTTTGACATTTTATGGCTATATTTAAGTATCTCAGGCACTTATTGGCTAAGAATCATCAAACTTTGTCAGTTGAGACATCTTGGGTTTTCGGAGAATGTCGACCAAAAAGTAGGTCACGGTGACCTACTTTTGAATATCTCGGGTACTTATTAGTTTTACAATCACCAAATTTTGTCAGTTTAGGCACCTTGGGTTTTCGGAGAATGTTGACCAAAAAGTAGGTCACTGTGACCTACTTTTGACATTTTATGGCTATATTTAATTATATCTGGTACTTATTGGCTCGGGAATCATCAAAGTTTGTCAGTTGAGCCATCTTAGGGTTTCATAGAATGTCGACCAAGAAGTAGGTCACTGTGACCTACTTTTGAATTACTCAGGTACTTATTGGCTTAAAAATCATCAAACTTTGTCAGTTTAGGTATCTTGGATTTTTGGAGAAAGTCGACCAAAAAGTAGGTCACTGTGACCTACTTTTGACATTTGAGGGCTATATTTAATTATATCTGGTACTTATTGGCTTAGAATCTTCAAACTTTGTCAGATGATGCATCTTGGGTTTTCGGAGAATATCGACCTAAAAGTAGGTCATGGTGACCTACTTTTGATTATCTCAGGTACTTATTTACTTAGAATCATCAGTCTTTGTCAATTAATGTATCTTGAGTCCTCAGAAAATTTCAATCAAAAGGTAGGTCACTGTGACCTACTTATGGTATTTTATAATTATATTATAAGATCTTCAGTCTTAACTGGTAAATATTATCAAACATTGTCAGTTGATGCATTTTGGGTCTTATGATACTAATAGAGTTGGAGGCTTCTAATAGAAGTGATAGATTGTACAATTTATCAGAAGAGCGATTCAAGGCCCTTGGGCCTCTTGTTTTTATTCATCTGTAGTTGCGGTATGGTGAGAGAATTCACCTCCTTGCTGGCTGTATTATTGCTGGAGCTGTCATTGTGTGGGCCCTTGCTCTTTATTTCTTTTTCTCTAATCTGACATCCTGGCAAGTAAGTGGAAGTAACTGAAGTTTATTTAAATCTTTATAAAAGGCTGTTATACATATTAAGTAACAGAATAGCTGGGAGGATTTGAATCTTTGTTTTATTGACAATGGTCAATCTTTTTTTGTATTTAAGAGTAATGAATGTCATTTGGTTGTTGTTTTTTTTATTATAGAAAACCCCTTCCAGATCAAGAGAAGGAAACAGAGACTGCATGCTGCTGGAATTTTATGATGCTCATGACATTTGGCATTTCCTTTCCTCCATTGCCTTGTTCTTTTCCTTTTTGGTAAATTATCATCAATACATAACTTTAAAAAGTTTTCTTTTCAAAGAACATTACAAATTCTTATCAAATATCATATCTTCTAATAAAGAAGTACGTGTACATATATATGTACATGTACATGTATTAGGAGGCATTGTTTGTATCAAATTCTGAATGTTGGTACAATGTATATAGATTTTCATATGCGACTGACAACCCAAACTTACAAGCATTTATAAACACATTAGTTTTCGAATGTGTAACATATAAAACATATATATACACGTGCTGTACGTTGTTTTAAGTTGCAAAAAGTCAGGTCTTAAATATTGAGTTTAACAAATTGTTTTCATTTTAATAATATTCAAAAACGTATGAAAATCAAAATTCATTTGATGCAATATAATTGCCACCAAAATGTGTTGTATCTTGATCTGCTTCTTTACAATCCTCCATCAATTTGCACATGCAGATTTAAAAAGAAGGGGGTCCTCTTTTATAATGTATGTGTGGTTTACCTGTCATTTGTATCATTTTTGTTATGATAATTAAGACATTGTTTGATGAAAAATGTTTAAACTACAAATCTTTTTTATCGATAATTTTACTGCTTTCATATAAAATTACAAATAATACTTGCAGTAATGTTTTTGTTTCAGGTTCTTCTCACGTTGGACGATGAAATGGTTACTTTCCACAGAGACCAAATACACGTGTTTTAGTGATCATTTTGTAAACATGTCTTTCTCAAACATGCTATCAAAGACCATACAGTGCTATTTATATTTTTCCCCGTATTGTCTTAAATTGAAGCATCTATTTTTGTGATGGAGATTCAGACTAGTGTATTTCTGCCATTTGATGGGAGATAAGTATGAAATAAAGTAGAGTTGGCTGTAAGCTTTTTTTTTAAAAAGGGAATACCAAAACCAAAGAATATACAAGTTTCTCCAAGATTTGTGTAAAATGGGAGTGATACGTCAATCTATATAGAGGGAGCTAATTTATCTTAATTGAATAATATTAGGATATTGTTAAAATCTTGAGAATAAACATTTACAAATCTATATGATTGTATATCTTTATAAAGTGTACACATGTAAATTGTAGGACCAGGGGCAGGGATGGGCTACAAAGGATGCCCAAAGTGTTACTTTTTTTGTATTTGCATACATGTTATTTGTTTTGTATATATGCATTTATTTTTTAAAAAGTAATTATTACATACTCATGATACTTCCTAATAAAGTATAAACTCAACTTGTATAAAGTATAAAAAAATCATATTTTGTTGATATTTTTATCTTTTCCAAAATTGATATTGTTTATATATGTACATGGATTTTTTTTTTGTCACTGTTACAATGTTTCAAAGAATACAGAGTTAAAAGCAAGCAAATATTGTACATGTTCATATTTTTTTCTCAAATATGTTATGTTTATCTTTCTTCATTTTATACATAAAGATCTCTCACCAGGATTGTAGTTTGATATGATTGCTACAGTATCCAGAGAGCTGTGTGTTCTAAGAGCTTTGCATGGATAGAGAAAGAAACTTGAGCTGACACACAGAGATGGATAGATCATATCCAACCACAAACCAATGGGAGATTCTTTGTGTCATATGTCTAAACATAGAAATCATGTTTTTTGCTTGTTTTCATGTGTGAATTCATTTTAATTCTCACCATTTTTATGCAAAAACCAATGTGACATCACATCCATTGATATGAAATTGACATGAATTAGTCTATAAAATATCCACTGTAAAATAAATGTATGTAGAAAAGACATCATAGATGTTTCAAATTATTATACCCCCGCTCTGAAGGGGTATACTGTTTTACCCTTGTGTGTCTGTCTGTCTGTCCGTAACAAATTTTCGTCGCAGTTTTCTCAGCAAATGCTCATCGCAGATGCTTAGAATTTTAACACAATCTTCTCTGAGGCATGCCATACATTGGGATGCATTTTTGTTCAAATCCAATGTAAACTACCAGTTTGTCTGTTCATCTGTCCATTTCATACAAAAATTTTCGTCACAGTTTCCTCAGCAACTACTCATCGCAGATGCTTGAAATTTTAACAGTATCTTCTCTGAGGCATGCCATACGGTGGGATACATTTTTCATCAAATCCGATGTCAACTTCCTGTTTGTCTGTGCATCTGTCCATTTCATACATGACAAATTTTTGTCACAGTTTTCTCAGAAACTACTCGTCGCAGATGCTTGTAATTTTAACTCAATCTTCTCTGAGGCATGCCATATGGTGGGATGCATTTTTGATCAAATCCGATGTCAACTTCCTGTTTGTCTGTGCATCTGTCCGTTTCATACATAACAAATTTTCTTCGCAGTTTTCTCAGCAACTACTTAATTTTAGTACACTCTTTGTTGAGGCATGCTATATGGTGGGATTAATTTTGATATGAATCTGTCAATTTCATATTTTTCTGTGCATCTGTCCGTAATTGAACTTATGTATATTAACATGATAGTGTTTATTCACACCAGAGTGGGGGGTATTCCTAGTGAGCACTGGCTCACAGATTTCTTGTTGAATATACATTTTATAGGGTCGTAGAAATCATGCAAGGATCCATGGTATGATTGTCACAAATCTGATGATGCATTTGACAGAAACTATTTATTTCAGAAGTTGTGGTTGCATTGATAGCTAAGTCAGACGTTATTTACTTTTGGATCAGGTGGAAATTTTAAAGCATGTATTTCAATGATATGGATGATTTGTTGTTTTATAATTAGCAAAGTGCTTGACTATAATATGTATATTAGGATGTCAAATTTTTGTTGTTGGATATGATTTATGATTAAAAAAATGTATTATAATCACATACGGGATATACATGTCACGCAACAGAAGGATCATATGAAAAAAATGCAGATACATTTATGTGACAAAAAGGAGTTACTGTATTAAATCTGTGATAAAAATTTCTCAGGCATGAGAAATATATAAGTACATATAATATAATATAGTATTGTAAATTCTATTCCTATAATCAATTAAAACTGTTAAAATTTAAGTGAAATATTGTTTTAGTCTGTTTATATATAAAGGTGTTCATTATTTTCTATCTTGCAAGCAGTATCAAATATTGTTCAGTGTCTGTTCTATTCATGAAGCTCTATGTAATGTAGAACTATATATAGTTAATGGTTTTAATGTTAAACAGTAAAACTGCTTATCTTTGTAATTTCACTACCTTGACATTTTTGGTATGGTACAAGTCCACAGAATATAGTTTACTAATCAAAATCAGATTAAACTGTGTAACACAATTGACATATCTCTATTTGCTTTTGTCAATCATGCATCACTCAGAGAAACTTCATAAAATTTTCAGCTTCTTCTCTTGAAAAGTTTGCGATAGGTACAAAACTTGTGAATTTCTTAATGAATCCAGTGCACAAAAATCAAGAAAGGTGTTTATGGCCCAAGGGTCAGGGTTTGGGGAGTTACATGTATCTAATCATGCAATTTTTTTCACAGAAAATTTGTTGTAATTTCGTACTCTTCAATAGTAACTTTGCCCTTGATATTTAATTTACAAACTGAATTTGATTTTTATACACTTGAAGCTTTGGAAATTTCATGTTTGCTTTTCTTCGATTAGTTATGCAGTGACATAAACATTTTTTTTCATAGAATAGGACCAGTGATGTTTGAAGTAACCAAAAAATAAAATTTGCGTTGAATAGAATACCGGTAGTTATAATTTGAATAGAATATTTATAGGAATGAAAACTACCTGTATGGGTCGAATAAATTACGAACGCACTAACATATTACTATCCCAACCTTGATCAAGTTAACCTGACACGAACAAGGCAAACGTAAACAAAGAGAAGTTGAGAAGACAAATATACAAATGACACCAGAATACTTGTTTTAACGTGATGTGTTATTAGTGACAATATTGCTCAGATGTTTAAGTCCTTTGGAAAATTGTTTGGAAGGAAGCGCTCGAGTAAAAAGGGGTAATCAGTATGATCTATCATGAAAAGTTAATTTTCGAATTTCCTTTTTTTCACCGTCATACAATCAGTATTAGGTCCGGCACAAGTTTTTGATTTAACTATATTATTGTGTGTCTACATTTTCGACAGACTATATGCATAATCACATACTTTCTTTTTTTCTCTATTTCTTGTTAATAAAAAAACATATTTGTAAACAACACTATAAAAGCTAAACTTTAATGAAACTTTTAATCAATCCAAAGTGTATGTTAATAAAATAAAATTTTATTGTGCAGACTAAAGCTGCAGGAGGTGTACATGTTTTGAGCATTGTTTAAAATGGAAATGATAGAAATTTTTTAATCAATTTAATAGGCGGAAAAGTACGACAGATTCTTCGGAGAGGGACGACAGTTATGAATCAGACAGTAGAATAGTGGCCTGCCGCGTTGCTAAGACCCCAGTGCATGATGATGCTGTGGTTCACCTTTCCCCTGTACAACCAGGCCTCTGTTTATCCTGCAGTAAAGATAAGGTATCATGGGTTTTACACTCGTACGTTGTAATGCTTATTTTCTGAATACAAATTAATGTAGCTGACATATGTAAGACAGTCATGATCGATAGCTGTTAAGTATATTTTTTGCCTTTTTCCAGACAGTAGCCCTTTATGATTATGAAAACCACAATTTAATAGACAGATGGACAGGTCATGAAAGGGAGCTAACAAAGGTAGGTGGTTTTTATACAAGTGATGTTTACAAGACTGATCTATAAAAAAAAATTGTAATCAAAATAACTTTACTCTTTTTGTTTATAGTCATTAACTTTATAACTGTTAGTCATATGATTATGGATGCTAGTGTCTTTTAGCTTAATGTTAATATTTACAGATCCGGAATGGTAAAACAAGCAACAACATATTCAGTGCATCAAGAGACAAGTCTATTAAAATGTGGAGGAGTGGGAATCCAAACTGTTTACAGGAATTCAATGGTCATGACCTTGTAGTGACTGCCATTGATTTAAACCATGGTAAGTGGTAAAGTTTACAGAAAATTCTAAAATTGTGAATATTGTGAAATTAAAAACACTGTAATGTATTCCACATGTACAGTATTTAGAATAAAAACAATATAATGTTGACCATCATACATTCAAATACTTTAGGTACATTGTAGACCCTATTTTGAAAGTAATGTTTTCAATGTCTGTTTGTTACTTTTAAATAACCTTGTATTCAAAGATTATTCATTATAACTATATTTTTAGATGATTCGTGGTTGTGCAGTGGATCTAGAGACAATCATGTGAAGATCTGGGATGTAAACACTGCTCAGTGTCTCTTACAGAGTAATATCCACAGGAACCTAGTAAGAATTAAAAAAAAATAGCAGCCACAGAAATTTATTAAGAATAAAACAATTGCAATATTCACATGGGCTTAGTAAGTAACAAAAACGCATATTCACAGGAACATAAATTAAGAACAAATTTTTGTTTACATTAACTCTGCGTGAAAATTTATGGTGAAACCTCCCTCAGATGGTTAAAGTTTTATTTTAACTTTAGATATGAATAGATTTTCAGAGATGTTGAATTGCCATAAAAATGCATTGTTCTGACAAATAAAATGTTTGTTAAATAGGTGACAGATGTGAAGTTTGTACCAGGCACACATTTACTGGTTCAGACTGGAGAAGACAAGGAAGTCAGGTAACCACTTTAATACTGGTGATGCCTAGCTTTAGTCAAAAGAATATTTTTTATAAATTATTAAAATATTAATGTGTTCATCATCATGTCCAAAAATTCCATTCATATTGTAAAAGTAGCCTTTTTCATCCATTTTTGGGCAGAATTTTACATTGAATTCTTTAGATGCCAAATTTTTTTGAATTTCTATTTGATTGTAAGTTTGGGTCAAGCAAAATGCTCTCGGTATAGAGATATTATATTTAATGGTTATAGACACAAAAAAGCTACTGTAACAGCAAGAATACATACTTTTCTTTTGATAGGTTATTTGACACAAGAACCCTTCAGGTTGTTCACAGTTTTCCCAGGAAGCATTATATTCAGATGGCTTGTGATGTCAGTCCAGATGGGTTGTACTGTGTCACATGCAGCAATGGTTTTGGTGGCAAAGGTTGTGAGGCCACGGTAAGGTCAAAGTTCATCCTGAATTATGACAAAATTAACATTCAATATTATAAAATGCTTAAAACTGATGCATATTGATCCCATAAGGATGTTGACAATGCTTTGCTTTCACAATATATTTATGCATAAAATTGTTGGCAAACATTGGTAATTCTGTGCATTTGTTGTGTAATGGTCAGGTGGGTTTGTTTGCCTGTGGCCAGATAGCTCCATTAATAGAGCACCTTTCCCTGACTACTAATTCAAGGGGTCAGGGGTTCAAATCCTGTTCTGGTTTATTGCCTTCTTCTCCTCACCAGTTGCAGTTACAATTTTCTATATTGGATACAGTGTACATTTACATATGTATTTGTTTTTCAGTTATGGGATTTACGAGGGAGGAGTATAGTTCATGAATATAGGGACCACGGTGAAGCTGTGGAATCTTGCATTTTCTTGCTGTCCATTGATGGAAAAAAGATCATAGCTACCACCTCAAGGGACACCACCATTAGACTGTGGGATATGAACACCAAAGGTTTGCACATAAACCTGAATCTGTTATTGTGATTAAATAATTTAGTGTCTAATTTTAAAACCTTATTAAATATATTAATTAATCGATGGGATACAGGGTTAATTTCTATCTCACCGTCAACTTTCCAAATGATTTTGCTTACTCTGGTCCCTACAGAATGGCAAGCTTTCACACATTTATATGGGGTTTGCTATAAAGGTTTAAGCTGAGTAATGTGAATGTTTTTTTGTTTTTTTCTGGTCCTACAGAGTGTCTGACTTGTTTCCCTGTAGCTGGATCTGGTCCACTGACCTCCATTATCTGTTACGATGATCTCAGGTATGTCACCATCCACCGGCCATACTTATTGTAATAGGCATGAAGAGATTATAAAGATTTTAAGTATGTAATGATGTAAAACTATTTTTCAGTTTATGCGTGTCCAGTTTTAACTCTGGCATCATCTCACTCCAGATGTCTCCAGACGATTTCTCTCTGCACCAGACAGGACAGTTTTAACACCAAAAGTCTTAGATTTGTAGAGTTTAAAAATCCTCAAAATACAGCATTGCCAGTCAAATGCTTTATGCAGTCAAGACTTTGTTCCTTTTAAAATCATTTCACATTCTAAACAATTTCTGGAGAAAAAGAATATACACTTTAATTTTATAATATCCACCAAATATGAAAATAACTTTTTATTTAATTTGGACAAATTGCTTTAGAACATACATGTGTTCAGATAAATTAAAGTACCACTGTAATAGAATAATATCTCAGGCAGAATGGATCCTATTTTTATTTACATATCATGAATTGCCTTACATGTAGATCTGTTTTTGAATTCTTGTTTTAAAGGTCAAGGGTATGTGTTCTGTGTATGTGGTGTTTATATAGTTGTACAAGCTGCATAGTGTTTTTGAATTCTTGTTTTAAAGGTCAAGGGTATGTGTTCTGTGTATGTGGTGTTTATATAGTTGTACAAGCTGCATAGTGTTATTTCATTAATTGTACGTAATCATAGCTGCAGAACTGTAGCATTATGATTTTATAAATTATTAGTCTTTGACCGTATTGTTATAGATCCAAAATGCAAATAAAATGAAATTTTGGCAATGTAAGATTTTCTGCACATTATTGGGGAGAATTTCTCCACTTTCCCACATTGGTTAATCAACTATCTTTCACTCCCTAATTCTAAAAAATCTTTAACAACCTGTATATTTTTTCCACCTCCCAACCCTTTGTAGTCTTCTCTGCAAATCAATAAATTCAATTGTCTAAAACTGTTTGCCGGATGGCAAAAATTCAAAACAAGTGAGTTTATTGTTTGTAGAGATGACAATGAAGAGAAAATCTCCCAAACAGTGCACAAAAATTCTTAAATTGAACCCTATTTGCACATTGGGATTTGTAGCATTATGGTCAAAGATGAATAAATAAAAACATAACTCTATAAACAGGTCTGCAGCTACAATGATCACAGTCCACTCTTTATGAGCTCTCCTAGTTTGCCAAATACATTTTGTCCCCCACTGAAAGTGGGGGATATTATATAATTTCATTCTGTCATCTGTCCATCCATTTGTTTGTATTTCTGTGTGTCTGTAACTAAGCCTTTGAGGTTTTGCGAAGAAGTTATACACAACAATTCCCTATGGCGTAAGGAAGTTCAAAGGTCATGGTCATAAATTCAAAATTTTTGGTCTGTTTATAAACACTTTCTATCTGCATGATATCTCAAGAAGCCTTAAATCTTTAGCAATGACATTTTATACCCAAACTCCTTATGACCTATGAAAAATCCTTATTTATTTTAAGGTCAAAAGGTCAAAGTTGTGTAGTAAATTCATACATTCTGAAATTACTTTCATTTCCAGGCAATATTTCAAGAAGCTTTAAATATTGTACTATAATTACCTTTGGCCCTGCCTGCCCTTCTTAAAGTGTCCAACCCCCTTTTACTCCCCCCCCCCCCTTAGATCTTTTTTTGCCTTAAGCATGGGACACAGATTCTCAGAATTAGCTTGTTGAATTTATTAGCTCACCTGAGCCGAAGGCTCAAGTGAGCTTTTCTGATCAAAATTTGTCCGTCGTCTGTCGTCGTCGGCGTCGTAAATTTTTCACATTTTCATCTTCTGCTCAAGAACCACTGGGCCAATTTCAACCAAACTTGGCACAAAGTATCCTTGGGTGAAGGAGATTCAAGTTTGTTCAAATGAAGGGCCACGCCCTTTTCCAAGGGGAGATAATTATGAATTTGTTAAAAATTAATGGCATTTTTAAAAAATCTTCTTCTCCAGAACCGCTGGGCCAGGAAAGATGAAACTCATGTGGAATCATCCTCAGGTAGTGTAAATTCAAGTTTGTTCAAATCTTGACCCCCGGGGCAAGGGTGGGGCCAAAATGGCCGACCCAAGTTTTACATAGGAATACATAGGAAAAATCTTTAAAAATCTTCTTCTCCAGAACCACTGGGCCAGAAAAGATGAAACTCAAGTGGAATCATCCTCAGGTAGTGTAGATTCAAGTTTGTTCAAATCATGACCCCCGGGGCAAGGGTGGGGCCAAAATGGCCGACCCTAGTTTTACATAGGAATATATATAAGAAAAATCTTTAAAAATCTTCTTCTCAAGAACCACTTGGACAGGAAAGATGAAACTCAAGTGGAATCATCCTCAGGTAGTGTAGATTCAAGTTTGTTCAAATCATGACCCCCAGGGCAAGGGTGGGGCCAGAATGGCCGACCCAAGTTTTACATAGGGATACATAGGAAAAATCTTTAAAAATCTTCTTCTCCAGAACCACTGGGCCAGGAAAGATGAAACTCAAGTGGAATCATCCTCAGGTAGTGTAGATTCAAGTTTGTTCAAATCATGACCCCAGGGGCAAGGTTGGGGCCAAAATGGCCGACCCAAGTTTTACATAGGAATACATAGGAAAAATCTTTAAAAATCTTCTTCTCCAGAACCACTCCTGGGCTAGAAAAGATGAAACTCAAGTGGAATCATCCTCAGGTAGTGTAAATTCAAGTTTGTTCAAATCATGACCCCCGGGTCAAGGGTGGGGCCAAAATGGCCGACCCAAGTTTTACATAGGAATACATAGGAAAATTCTTTAAAAATCTTCTTCTCCAGCATCACTGGGCCAGGAAAGATGAAACTCAAGTGGAATCATCCTCAGGTAGTGTAGATTCAAGTTTGTTCAAATCATGACCCCCAGGGCAAGGGTGGGGCCAGAATGGCCGACCCAAGTTTTACATAGGAATATATAGGAAATATCTTTAAAAATCCTTCTCAATTACCACTGGGCCAGGAAAGATGAAACTCATGTGGAATCATCCTCAGGTAGTGCAGATTCAAGTTTGTTCAAATCATGACCCCGGGAGGTAGGGTGGGACCAAAATGGCCGACCCAAGTTTTACATAGGGATATATAGGGAAACCTTTTAAAATCTTCTTTTCAAGTACTTCAAAGCTATGATTAGTGATATTTATATGGAATCATCCTCAGGTAGTGTAGATTCTAGTTTGTTCAAATGATGAAAGCCTGGAAGGGGGGGGGGGGTAGTAAATTCAAGCCCGATGTGCTCAGGTGAGCGCTGTGGCCCTTGGGCCTCTTGTTTTTACATGCATTCATTTTTTTACCGACTGTTTCATTTTCTTTTCTCTTTGTTCAGTTTTAAATTATACATGTATTTATATACATAAACTGATATCATGGGCCTTATTACTTGTTTGACAAATACTAATCTTTTGGTATATTTATACCTTAAAGGTGATGGTATATTTTTTGTGTTTGATACTGTTGTGATACTCATAAGAAAATACATCAACAAGGCTCTAATACTAACTGATGAGAATTTAAGACTGCATGAGTATTTTGATAGGTGTTAGATTTAATATAATGTTAGTTTTTTGTCTGAGTGTACACCATAGCACAAGAATTTTGGTCTGATGACTTTTGATTTTTATCACTGGCACTCTGCTGCAAAACTGTATAGCTCTCTCAGGGCAATAAAATCAGACAGACATACAGATCAGCTAGACTTAAAGATCTATCCATTTACAAAAAAAGAAACATTCTATTTATGCCAACAGTTTATTTAATTACCTTTCAGCTATTTTTGTTGCGTGGTCTTCTGTGGATTTATAACATATTTACTAGCTGTTCCAATGGGTTATTATATTTTAAACTGCCCTCTTATTTTGGAATAAATTTTTCCTCCTATTTGTGATATATTAATTTGTGCTTTATGTTTTTACATGCATTATATTCAAACATATTATCTCCAAAACTTGAGGTCATGGTGAGGGAATTAACTTATTAAGAATAAAGAGATAATATCTATCCCGGTCTTTACTCGAAAAAATGCTTGTTCTATATACAGTAAGAATACATTCAATTGCATAAATTCATGAAAAATGGGAGACTGTGCAGACAAAGCCTATATCAGTTGTTTGTATTCATATTTTTACTTGCCATTTGTATTTTTAATTAGGAATTACTTTAACACATTGTTTTATTAAATATGTTGAAACATCTTGTCAATGAGATTGTTTTTGTTCTGCATCTACATGACATAAAACAGCATCTACACAGTACAGCGTTCCATCAAATGGACAGCTAAATTTTAATTAGGAAGTATAAAATATGGAAAACGATTTACATTGTGCGTGAAAAGAAAAAAATGTTTGTACAATTTCTGCAAATATCTTACACAAGTTTAATTACACCCCCCTTTTTTCAGCTTTATTTTCGCAGATTCGCATGATTCGTTGGGGTTATAAACAATTTATGTATATATATATATATATATATATATATATATATATATATATATATATATATATATATATATATATGAACATTTACTTGTGTCTTTGCGGAAAGTCGTGTAAATGACTGGGTTTTCAAGACCCGTTCGTCACGTGTAGAATGTAAACATAACCTCTGACCTCGACTGGAACGGTAAATCGCGAACCGCTCATTGGAGGGAAAATGCGTTTTGTTTGCACGTGGTACATCGACGATAACAATAGCTGAAAGGGAGAATGGAGTCGGTGTGACAGACGCACGTTGTTCTGCACACAGCAGAAAGATCGGGACCAGCGAGATTCCCAACAACAGAGGATTAATGTTACAATGTCTGGTCAAAAGTTAGGGATCGTTAGCTTAGGAAAAGCCGCGGGAAAGGTGAGAAATTTACTACAGATTGTGAAGAGCGCCTGTGGTGAAAGTAAACAACATGGCGCATG